TCCCTCCCTCCCTCTCTTCCCTCTTCCCTCCCCCTCTCTCACCCCCTCCCTTTCCCTCTCCCTCTTCTGTCTCTTAGCTCCCTAACATTAAGGAAAAAATGCTGCTATCAGTGACTTCCAGGCCTGGGATTTCGACTTTTGGCTATAATAAGAACAACAAGAAGGTAGGGAAAAGCGCTTTTTGGAATTCAGCTACTTCCTTTTCTGGGTCTCCGGGAGTGCCCTTGGTTTTAACATTCTTCTTTAAGAGGGGAACAAATTCCTCTCCCGGGATTCCTCTCTGTCTCAGTGCTTCTTCTCCCTTTTCCACCACTTCTTTCTGCATCTTTTCTTACCTGGTTCTGGAGTTCAAGAAATTTAGAGTTTCTATTTTTGAGGCCTGGGAAGGCAGGGAATTAAAAGCAAATCAAGTTCGCAAGTTTGTATCCTTGTGAAATTAAGTTAGTTTGACTTGGTGTTGATGTGCCAGTCTCCCCAGGTTTAATATGTCATCTCACACCCTGTCCTCCAGTCCACCTCACAAGGTTATTTTATCTTTTTATGAACTGTTTTCATTCGCTCCCTTCTTACCCATATCACCAGTGTTATTGATGGTTAAAAATCTGGAGTAGTCTGTGAAGTCACAAGGCTCATCAAGGGCTGGGTGTACTCTTCTAGACAAGAGACCCTACCCTATCCAGTAGAGACAGAATCTTGAGAGGCTACTGGAATTAAAGGCGAAAACTCTGTGCTTCTCCAGGGGATAGCCAGGCTCAGAAGGGATCCTTGGAGTCTTTATGATTAACCCTTGGCTGCCAGAGAGCTGTTCTACTAGGGCACTGGGGCATTCTGGGGAGAGATGGGCAATCTTGCCCACGTTTGCCAGGAACATCCATGGCAGTTTCTTAGCAGTTCAGGGCACACAGAGCTGCTCAGGGGGCACTTTGTGCTATAGCAGGAAGACTTTACCCTCCTCTGGGTGCATCATCTGGGTGTTGTGGTTCTTTGAAGAAAAAAAAACATGTCATAGACATTTAGAGATCTTTTGCTCATCTAATGGAATGTTGGAAGGTGGGAAAGGGTTCCTATTGCTTTCTTGTATATCTAGAGACCTTTACAGGTGGTTTGAAACACAGAAGTCTGGTCAAGGCAGTGGGAGAATGTTTAGATCCAAAACACTGGTCCTTAGTTTATGGGTGTTACTCTGTGTGCTATTCGTTTTTTTTTTTTTTTTTTTTTTTTTTATCTTTAAGACATATGGGGGGTGGGAACCAGCAGTTAGTGTAATGGCTATGTCGCTGGACTTCCATGTAGTTGACCGCGGTTCACGTCCCGGACCTGGTGGCTTAAAACTCACGCCGGGTGCGTGTGCGTGCGTGCCCAAGATCCCAAGAGGAGAATGGAGGAGAAGGGATTGCGGCGTGACCATCTCCCCGGGGGGTGATTTCTCGCTTTCTGTCTCTCTGTTTCTCTCTGTCTGACGAGCACACGCGCCCTATAGTGAAAAACCTCTCCAAAAAAAAAAAAGAAAAAGACATATGGGGAGTGATGGAGAACTATATGTGAGAGGGTAGAAGTAACATATATTGGGTAAACAAGTCTAGAGAGGTAATGTATAACATGAGGATCATTGATAATAATGTTGTACTATGTATGAAATTTATGCTGAGGATATTTTAGCTGCTCTTGCCACAAAAACAAAAATGGATAATTCTGTGAGATGATGGATATGTTAATTTGATTCACTATAGTAACCTTTGTATTTACCTATATGTATTCCATAATATTGTATACCTTAAATATACACAAACGTATCTTTCAAAAAAGAAATATTGACCCATACATATTTGTTGGTTATCAGTATATACTACACACATATACCAATACCCCTCTATCAGATATACATGTGTACATGGTACATTATATATTATATATATATTTGAAAGGAGAATAGTTTATCTCTTTATTCTCCTCAAATTTTATATAGTACTATATGGAAGTTTCCTTACTGATTTTTTTTTTTGGGGGGGGGAGAGGTTTTTGCTATAGGGCGTGTATGCTCACCAGAAAGACAGACAGAGACAGAGAGAAAGAAAGCGAGAAATTACCCCCCCAGGGAGGATGGCCACCCGGCAATCCTTTCTCCTCTATTCTCCTCTCGGGATCTTGGGCATGCATGCACACGTGCCTAGCATGAGTTTAAGCCACCAGGTCTGGGACTCGAACCACGGTTGACTACATGGAGTCCAGCTACATAGCCATTATGCCAACTGCTGGTCCCTTCCTGAAAATTTTTTAAAGAATTATTTATTTAGAGGCTGGCAGGTGGCGTGGTGAAGGGTGCTGGACTCCCACGTGGCTGACTCCGGTCTTTGTCCTGGATCTGGCGGCTTGCTTTCTCTCTCTCATTCTGTCCCTCTCTGGTCAAATTAAAAAATAAATAAATAAAAATAATATTTTTTTTTAAAAAATTATTTATTTAATTTTATTCATTATTATTATTATTATTTGAATTTGACCAGAGAAAGAGAAGGAAAGTGAGAAACAAGTCACCAGGTCTGGGACTCGAACCACAGTTGGCCATGTAGGAGTCCAGCACCTTAACTACCATGCCACTTACCAACCCCCATTCCTGATGTTTTGTTTCCAGGTCTCTGTGTTACCTAGAATCCATTAAAAAAAGTAGAATGGATACCCCAAATTAATTTTTTCCATAGTAGAGGTTTCATGTATTTGAAGCTATCTAAAATCTCTTTTCTCAGTTCTCTACTCCCTCTTCCCTTGACTATAGGAAACATTTAACTAACTTCTAAATCTAGAATGGCATAAGGAATAAAAAATATGGTTGTGAATTTGGATTCCAGTCTCAAATCTCTTCCTGATATCCTGTAAGGTTTGAGAAGCAATTCAGGAAACATTTGGACCAGTTGAGGTAGAGTGGGATGACGGAGGAGATACATATGTACTTGCAAGAATTATTTGGGTTCTGGGACCAGCAGTTGGCATAATGGCTATGCTGCTGGACTCCCACATAGTCAACTGTGGTTCGAGTCCCAGACCCAGTGGCTAAAACTCACGCCAGGCACGTGTGCTTGCGTGCCCAAGATCCCGAGAGGAGAATGGAGGAGAAGGGATTGCAGCGTGGCTATCCCCCCTGGGGAGTGATTTCTTGCTTTCAGTCTTTCTGTCTGTCTTTCTGGCAAGTGCACTTGCCCTATAGAAAAAACCTCTCCAAAAAAAATTATTTGGGTTTTAACAAATCAATGTTACGATGACATCTGAAGATGCTGAATGTATCTATCACTTTGTGACTATGACACCTTGTGTGTGTGTGTGTGTATGTTTGTAAATGTTTAGTCTATTTAAACCTAAAGCATTACTGCATTGCAGTTAGTTTTGGTGTAAACAAACCAAACCTAATGTGTTTATTTTGGGATGAGTGTTTGGGACGTATTTGCTCATGTAACTTACATCTATAGCCAAAATTAAATTTTTAACATATTTCTTCGGACCAGCAGATAGCGCAGCAGTTATGTCGCTGGACTCCCATATGGTTAACTGTGGTTTGAGTCCCGGAGCTGGCGGCTTAAACCTCACTCACACTAGTGTATGTGTGCGTGCCCAAGCTCCCAAGTGGAGAATGGAGGAGAAGGGATTACAGTGTGGCCACCCCCCCCCCCCGGGGGGTGATTTCTCGCTCTCTCTGGTGATCGTATGCGCCTATGGCAAAAATCTCTCTCTCAAAAAA